GGCCTATGCCTAGGGTAGGCATGGGCCTAGGATAGGCCTATGCCTAGGGTAGGCGTGGGCCTAGGATAGGCCTATGCCTAGGGTAGGCATGGGCCTAGGATAGGCCTATGCCTAGGCTAGGCCCCGGGAGTTCTATGCCGTTTTAAGGGCCTAAGTCTAAGTAGTTTGAAGGCAGTCGAATCAGTCGCAAGTCTAAGAAGCTGACAAGGATTTGCTTTGCCCTTAGGTGTGACTTCGTCAGGAAAGTCACTTTCACTAAACGACGCCAGAACCATCCTCGATGTCCACGTGGAAGCTTTCACTGCCCTCCAGATCTGAGCTTCCAATAACACCTTTTTGAGTCAGTCTGTTGTAGCTACATGTCACTTATGTACTAAGAGAAAGTTTCTTCTGCCTCCGCAAAACACCGACAAGCAGGCTCACTGAGCCTTTGACTCTTCAATCTCGGTCTGCAAGACCTTCACCACTGCTTTGACGAGATGCTGCTTTCTTGGCACTACTAGCCACCGATTCCACTACAAGTCACACAGGTGGCAGCAAAATGTCCCAAAGGAATGTCAGCGCAACCTCCGCCCTACAGACAGTGAAAGAACGTAGACAGTTGCACCAGCAACTTGAGTCACCAAAGCGCCGTAACTATGGCGCGGCTCAGGAGGGGCCCCTCTTTTCAGACTCGAGCCATGACTCTGGAAAACATAGCAAGCCCAAAATTGCTACCATTGCAGCGTCGGCTACAAAATTGTACAACCCTTTGTCAATCCAGAAAATTCACTGACTATACAAACCTGTCTGCAGAAGCATCTGAACCCAATGCACCCTAGGCCCTAAGTGGGCGAAGAATGTCACACCTCCAATGTGCCCACGTACGGTGATAAGTTGGGGGCTTTCCAGCACACACACACAACCGCATTATCAAGAGTTGAGCTGAGACTGCAACTCCAGAGACTGAAGCATGGCACGCACGATGAAGACGTTAGAAAGGATAAAGGAGATGGATGAAGAAGAGCACTCATAAGCAAGAAACAAAGTTGTCTTTGCAAAGTGGCTTTGGGATGTGGGTCGTGAAAGGGGGCAGATCGGTGTAGGGAAGGAAATAGCAAAGAAAGTCGCAGAGAGGATGCTATACAGTGACAAAGCAGAGCGAGGGCTCATAGATTGTGGGGGGGAAAACTGCAGGACATCCCCTGGCACAATGAGTAGACGGACACGATTAAGCAAATTGCACCTTGCCAGCCGCATTCCGCAAAGCCATGCGCAAATGCAACGCATTCAAACACTTGGAGAAGCTGGACACGGCCAATCTAGGTCAAGCCACAACCAAGCTTGAAAATGTTTCGACTCGACCATAGCTGCAGCAATGCAGCAAGCTTGTACTGTCAAGCTCCTGCCTCCAAGTTGATGTGCTCATCGTCTTTGTACTCTCGGCCCCCGCGGATGTTCCCTCCCTGCGGTCGCACTGCGGTCTGTTACCAAGGACAACACCTATCCAAGCGCGCAGTCTCTTTGGCCCCGGTTCACCAGCAACATTTGCTGCCTCACACCGCGCCTTTAGCAAGGCACAGTCGACATACCTCTCGCCTCAAATTTAGCTCGTCCAAGGAAATCATCCGATGAATACAAAGCCAACGAATCCAAAGCAAATACAAGGCAAGTGCAAGACAAAGCCAAGGCGCCCAGGGGCATATCCATGTTCATTGCATCCCGTATTCTTGAGAGCAAATACGTACCTTCGCCGCTCCACCATCTGCCCCAAACCAACACAAACGACATCCATGCTTGTATACATGGCGCAAGTTGAAAAAGAGCAATTATGCACACTGAATGACATGCACTATGATACATCACATACATTGCGCTAAGTTATGCCACATCTAGCATTCTCCGGTTCAGCTCAGGTGCCCATCGAGACTCGTTGGCCACGAGCTTGGACCTTACAAGACTAGATGGCTGTTACACAGGTGGCCAAGCCCGAGCTGCAAAACCTCAAGACATGTCAAACAGACCTCCCACATCCTAAGACACATAGAACAAAGTGCCATAGGGAATAGGAGCAACATGCGAGAATGTAGCAGTCGGCAAAACGTTTACAGCACAGCTACAGTAAGTGAGCAGTTGCAGTAGGAAGGGGGGAATGAATGCCTTCAGTCAGCTGCAACAAAATTAGTGTGTCCCACGTCCCGATTCCTCCTGCCACCCGGACAGAAGTCAATGGGCGATAGGCGGATGGTACCTGGGCGAGCTCTGTCCTGCATCACATTGGTCATGCAATAGTTCACCGTCGACAGTGTTCTCATGACCCCGTCCTTCGCAAAGGGTCCAATACTTTATAGGATTCCTCCTTAGTAACAAGTGCATCGCTACTAGTAACAAGGGCATTACTACTAGTAGCAAGAAGCTACTAGTAGCGATGCACTTGTTATAGTAAATCAGTTCCTGCAACTTCCCTTGCCCAATTCCCTGCAATCCCCCGCAATGCATTATGCAAACATAAAGTCATGAAAACCTGATGCCCACTGAGGCCTCGCGCCGCAACCTTCAACAAGGATTCATTAGGTGGCCAATCAGCAACAGTGACAATCTCATACTGCGCAGAGTTGAGCAATGTAGGGGGCGGGCAGGCTTTATAGACTTGCTTACACCACTGTCCATTGCGACCGCACTGGGACAGACACACATTGTATCTGACCACAGCCAATCCGCAAACATGAAGGCGTACGCTCACAATTTTAACAATGCACCTCAATTACCGGATCTGAGCTTGAAGATGCATTTGGCCAAAAAAGGTCCTCAGGTTACACCACCCGCAAAAGCAATCCAAGTTGAAACCTGAAGCTGGGCGCTGTACAAGGATAACTGCCTTGATGCCATCCTGCCCCGGCTTCAACAACCTAGTCCCATCCACCTGTGCAAAAAGCAGCACGCCGCTTGGCCACACCAATGTGTGAAAGATATTTGGGCAAAACACGAGTTTCTGCTCGGCTTGAAGAGTTTGATATGTATTTTGCCCTTGCTGTGTTTTTTATCTTGCTCAATTACCTTAAGTCAGACTTAAAAGTATCGCCCTTTGGGTCAAGGTTTGGTGTCTTTTCAACAAAATATAAGCGTGAAAGCCGTGTTTGCCAAATTTACACTTTTGAAGGTTTTAACGCCAAAGATGCATTGCTGCTGCTGTGTCTATCAGGTTGTGTGCTTGTGGTCGGGCGTCTGGTTTGTTCTCCACCTCTCCTTCGGCTTCACTATATCTTCACTGGGGCCAACGCTTCAGACCTTATGCTCACCCTGACAATTCTCTGACAGGCTCAAGGCGCCGACCATTCGGTCAACAACATGATGATCCTAAGCTCTCAAATGCAAAAAATAAAGTGCAAACCCGAAACCCAGCAAACTGAGTGAAGGGCGTGGCCACTCAAAATTACAGGAAAATCAAATTCTCTGCAAGTTCTTTCGTCCTGCGAACAAAACAGCACGCAAAAAGGCCCCTCATTCATCTGAATCTATCACGTCCCGGCTCGTTCACATCTAAGACTAGGAACCAACAAAACAAAATTACACCGGCATAGCCCCAGATAGCGGGTGTATAGGGAAAAAGTTCATAGTGCCGAATCCAGCACCTGCACCTGCATCAGCACGCCCAAACAAAAGCACCAGCACCAGCACGGGCAAGGTTGCGCCACTGCTTCGACATTGTAGACTTAAGTCACTCCGTATCAACGCCCGTCATTTCTGGTTGGGTCCAGGCGCGAATTATCGTATGAATCGCAACGGTTATCCGACACATGTCTTTTGCAGGCTCGCGCGGGGCTTGACTGCTGAGCCGGCGGAAAGAGTTGCAGGGAATTGGGCGTGTTGCCTTCGCATGGGTTGTTTGTCCACCCCGTTCCTCGTTTGCAGTCTTCCGCCCACGGTTGTATTGCCTCGCACCCTCGAAGGTGAACCCCACACAATGCAAGGCAAAGGCAAACAAAACAGCACCGTAGCTGTTCGCACTGCACAAGGCACCCCATCCCCACCCCACCCCATACCCAACGTAGCATCAACTTGGCGAATGGTAAAAGCATGGAAATTCTCCGGGGTCGTTAGGGGGGGCGTGAGCACAAACAATCACTCATCTGCATTCTGGCGACTGGGGGGGCGGGGCCTTCAGCTCTACACTCAAGCATCAAGAAAGAACAAATTTAACACCTTCAGCACTAGACTCACGCACTAACAAACTCAATATTTTACAATCACCTGCACGCTGGCGGGTTGAGGGTGGGGCTATCGGCGCTACACCCAAGCACTAACAAAAGAATATCTGAACCTTACACTCACCGCATCCTACGCTGTGGGGGGGGCGGAGCCTTCAGCACTACATCCACTGGAAAGGACACCTCATCTGATCCAGCTCTCATGTTCCAAAATGAAATCTCAATCTTCTTCTCTGACACCCCATGCACCCAAGCACGGACGCGTACCTTGAGTCCATCTTGGTCGGGCCCAGCCCAGCCAGGGGCACAGTCACTCGACATGCCCACGCAGTTGCACCAGCCGGCTTCTTCAAAGCCGGCTTCGTCACACATGGTCGCTTCTTCGAAGGAAAAGACTTGAATGAAAGTCTTCTTGTTTGTGGTTGCTTGCTTGTTCTTTGTGGTTTTGCTTCGCTTTAACTGATTCGCCCTGTTCTTGGTTCTTTTCTGAATCCTGAACAGTCCTCCGTCTCCAACCCACAAGTGTACTAGTAAAATTTCAAATTGCGAGCGCCTGCCCTGTGGGATCTGGTGGCTGGAGCGTTTCTTCTATAGGTGCGTCCAGCGCCAATGTCGGGAAGTCCACAGTCTTGTCTGCGCGACGCGACGCGAGCATTCAAAGCACACTAGCTCGCTGGACGTGTCAAGGCAGTCAGCGGAAGATGAGGAAGACCGGGCTGTTTCCAGTATATAGTTTCTGTCTTATTCGCGCAAGACATAAATCTATTCTGTGGTGGAAAGCGCGCGGTCTGATTCCACCGATTCGCGGAGGACTCCGCCTCTTCACCTCTGCACATCATGGAACACACACCACGCAACTTGGCTGCGTTGGTGAGCCCTGGAATGGCTGGGGCCGACGATGGCCGCGGCAAGGCGTGTGAGCGATTGGACTGCCTCATGGGGTACTCATTACCCACTATCATCACTGAGGCTCCGCCTGTAACAAGGTAGATAAAGGTGGGCTCGTTAGGCGTTTTTGCCCGAGTACCTGCCAGGGGTAGCCTGCGTCGGCCGAAAGCTCGGGACAGGGTCACTTGCCATGGAGGAGAGCATCTTTGGTCACCTCCCCAGGACAGTTGGGGACAGGTTTGATGCTGATGTCCTGGATTCGGCTGCTGGCGGCTGTGGGCTTCGCTTGCTCCCTTTCGGTGTTGAGTGCTCTCTGCTCGGCTTGGTGCTTCCCTTGGGTCGTGTCTCGCTTTACGGATTGGAGGTCTTCGAATCCGATCCTTGCCTGGTTCTTGTCCCATCGGCCGACTGTTGGTGGCGTCGTGCACCTGATGCCAAACAACCTTTCGCCCCTTTCCTGCTTGAGCTCTGCGCTGGTTTTGGCGGCATGTCCATTGGTGCCTCTTTCCTTGGCGCTGTCCCTGTTGTTTCGGTGGACTTTTCGCCGCTCTCGGTTCGTCATTTGAAGGCCAACTCACATGGGCAGGTTTTGGCATTGGACTTGAATCACCCACAAGCCTCAAGAACCGTCCACGCCGCTTGCCCCGAACATGGATTTACTGGCACTCTAGGGTAATTTCCATGTCAGCCCTACAGCTCTCAGGGCAGGATGCAAGGTTGGAATGACAGCAGGGCATTCGTTTTGCTTTCGGGCCTCAGGGTATTTTGCCTCAAGCCGTGATTTTGGAGTGCGTCGCCTCCGCTCGGCCAAATCATGACACTCGCCAGGCCACCTCCACTTTTGCTAAGGCGATGGGCTTCGAAATCCTTGAGCTCACTTTCGACTTAGGCACACAGTGGCCGTGCAAACGCCTCAGGTGGTGGATTTTGTTGATCCCGCCTCGATGGAATCATCATGGACTTCATCCTTGGCCATGTCTTTCCGCCACCCCCAAGATCGGGCAGGTTCTGCCGCAATGGGGGATTTGGAGCGAGCCTGATGAATCCGAGCTCCAATTGGACATCGACGAGCTCGCTCTCTACATGGATCCACGGCTGGGCAAAGAGGATCGCTGCCTCACGTTGGACAGCATCGCACCCACATTTTTGCACTCGTACTCCAATGCCACTCGACCTTGTCCTTGCAAATGCCGCTCGGCTGGGTTCAGAATTGAGACTTTTCTGGATCAAGGCCTTCGTGGATGTTGGGTTCCATCTCAAGTTCACGGCAACCCGAGATTCCTTCACCCAAGGGAGCTTGCCGCAATGCTTGGTGTCCCCGATTCCGTTATGCTTCCGCTGGGACCTCGGGAAAGCAACTGTCTCTTGGGGCTCATTGCATCACCGATCCAGATGGTTTGGATCTATGGCACCTTGGTTGAGAACTACCAGATGGCCACTGGTTCAGAAGAGGTCCTCACGGCACTGGACACGCTGGACAAATACAAGCGAGAGTTGCTCCGGCAACTCCATGATGGATTTCCTGCCTTCGACAATCCGCCCCTTCACTTCCAGCTTTGGTCCAATGGGACATGCCTTGAGATCCTATGCAACAGGGCTTCCACTGGCCGAGGACCACCTACTCACGACTCAGATGGCACACGGCTTGGACTTGGTGATCCCATTCTTTGGACCACACTTCAGAGCCTCATTAGGCAGCGTGGACTCACAGCGGCAGGACCGGTCTGAACATTCTCTCCCAAGCAAGCAAATGCTCTTTTGCGCTCCTCTCAGCCTCCTGTACCATGGGCTGGGGCCATCCAGGGCCCACCACAACTACTTTGTATCTTCCCTGCGGACGAGCACTGGGCACTTCTTCATGGGGTCATCCTGAATGGCAGCATCTCTTGGACTTATTTTGATGGACTTCGTGACCGGCTCATTGATGAAGCTGATTGGCTTTCTCAGCAGCTCGCCGCCACGATGGGTACACAAATTTCAAGTTTTGCCCCAGTCACTCAGCAGGCTGAGTACACTTGTGGTACTATTGCTCTTCTTCATGCATGGGCTTTCCCGGAGGATTCACTGAGGACAATATCACCAGGATCCATGAGCATCTTCTTCTACATGATCGGAAGGCTGATTTTATTGGTTTTGGACTCATTGGACGGGCATCCAGCGGACCTTTCAAGGGACAGGGCCACTATGGTGCTTGATAAATTGGGGACATCATTGGTCCAGTCCGCACTTCGCTCCAAGACTCCATGGGCTGCAATTAAAGCAGAAGCCAGCAAGCCTTCGTTCCGCCTGAGATTGGTCACGCCTCTGGAACTATCTCAGCATTTGCAAGATAGGGAGAAGACTACATTTGGCGCCTCCGCTTCCAGCAAAAAGGAGAGAGGTACCAGGGAGAAGAAGCTAGCCACGAAACCCATCAAGGTTGACCCACAGGCTGGAAGAGCCTGACACCTTTGTCGATGAGGATGGGAATCGAGTGGGAGCCATAGATTTCCAAGACGTTGCTGCAGATCAAGGCGGGATTGCACTTTGCAATGCAGAGGGGGCTGCTCCATTCTTCCCTTCCAGCAGTCTCACCTCGGATGCACTGGCCTTAGCTCTCATCGATTTGCCAGAGGAGGACATTGTCATTGCGGCCAAGATTCAGAAGTGCATGATCCCTGCCAAATACAAGGCCACTGAGGAACCAGTCGTCTTCTTTGGAGGTCGGGGGACATTCCAGTCAAGAGGAAGGCCTCTCCCAGCATGCCACAACCCGCGATAGTGACAACAACTGTCCTCAAGATACAAGCATACCGAGACCTGCTCGGCACTTCCTGGGATGCTGTTGCTACACCAGAAGCAGGAGATTCAGAGATTGGGACAAGAAGGACAGGCCAAATTTCAGCAGCTGGTTCAGACTGCAGTTCATGAGGTCAAGAGCGACTTTGCCAAGGAGATGAACGGCAGATTCGACACGCTGGAGGCCATGATGGCCAAGAAAGCAAAACATGATGCTTGACTAGGCCACAAGGGGATCGGACCTCGACCATCCGATCCGCCGATCTCTCTCCATGGTCGCAACTTCACTAGGCGCCCACACGGCAGTGTGGGTGCCTCCAATCCTCGAGGCCTCTCCCTCTCATGAGGGCTACGCATTCTTTTGGCCACTCTAGTTTGGACTTCCTCTTCGGCGGCACCACTTCTGGAGCATGAAGAGGACAATACTTCTCGGCGACAAGGGGAAACGAAGGGAGACACAAGGGGAGACTCAGGGACAAAATCATCTTGGCCCAGCATCGTTTCTATGCAAGAATTGAGAACCCCTCACAGCAAAGCAGTTTGGGGAATGCAAACTATGTTGGACAAAACAGTGTTGCCAACCCAAGATCAAACAC